AGATGCTGAAGGGCATGGGAATGCTGCTTTCCCCTGACACCAGCCACGGACATACCTACCCAGTCTTCAAATGCAACTGTCGTGATGGAATGTTCCCTAACCCCGGTTGAACCTGTTTCTGTTTCTATCTCATATCAGCAATTAGAGAACTCTGGTGCCCCAAGTGCTGGGAGAGAAACCCCAGGGAGCCTGGTGATGATCCAGGCTGCCTTGCCCCAGGCCCTGCGTGAATCAAACCTCAACCTTCTCCCTCCTCTCTGCCTCCACTTCCCCAAATGAAAAAACCCTCTGGCAGGATAGTAGCCCCTGCCCCTGAACCCAGATCACTTTGCTGGCTCTAGATAAAATGGCAGTAGGAGAGGTACATTTATTAATTTTTTTTTCTAGCAGATATCTATCAAGTGCTCAGTATTTGCCAGGCAGAGCACTAGGCTGGGGATAGAATGAGCCCAGCCCTGTCCCTGCCTGCAAGGAACTACAGGTTAGCTGAAAGGAGGCAGCTCCTCAGTGTAGTAAGTGCTATGATAAGTTAGGAGAGAGTCAAGCCAGCCTTGGGGGGGGACAAGGAGGGCTTCCTGAAGGAAGAGCATTTAGGTCGAGGCAGGGAAATTGAGTAGACACAGGGCAGGAGGCAAGGAGGGGGAAGGGTGTTCCAGACAGAGGGCATCTGCAAAGGTCTCTCAGAGGAAGCGGGCGAATCCAGAGAACCTCGTGTTCATGCAGCACTGGGGAGATGAAGCTGGGGCAGTAGGCAGGGACGGGATCCTGCCGGCCTTAGAAGAAGGTACGTGTGTCCCGAGAGCAGTGGGGGGCCATGGAGAAATCTCGGTTACTAGAGGAAAGTAGGGTACTCAGGCAGGCCCTGGTGCAGCACTAGTTCATGATCTGGAGTACAGAGAGGGATAAGACTCAGACATGACCTTCTAGAAGCTCATCAGTGGCAGATCACTGTGTTGATTAACAGCCAAGCCATGAGTACCTGCTCACGTGAGTGCTAAGATTTGGTGGCAGGGTAGAGACTCACATCTATTGGGTGCTTGCTATGTGCCAGGGTCTGTAGCAAGGCACTTGATGTCACACCTGACTCAGCCCTAAAGGTGGCCTATTGCCACCTGCATTTTACAGATGAAAAAACCAAAGCTCAAGAGGTTAACTTCCCACTGTCATATAAGCAGGAAAGGATCGAACCAAGATGCGAGGCCAGCCAGTGATGTTTCTCCTACTCTCTGCAGCCTTCCCTAAGTGTGGGCCACAGGGTGTGGGAAAGGCCTCCCGGGGGTGGGGGTAAGGTCTGCAGAGTGCGAGTGTTGTTTCGGGTCCTGGCGTCATCTCTGCGGCTGTGCAGAGTGGGCCGCGAGTCTGGCATGTGGGCATTAGGGGAGGCATGTGGATGACGGGGGATCAGGATAAACAGGTGTCTCTGAGAGTTTGCCCCTTGGAACCCTGAAGTTAAGCCTTGTGCCTGCTCTGAGGGAGGTAGTAGCTTTTCAAAGAATAAAGTCAGTGAGTAAAAAATATAATCTGCAGTCCTTTCCAAACCTGAGCATGCTGTGCTGCCTACATGCCGTTAATAGGGGACAGGTTTTCCCAGACATACTTGCTTTGGAGAACTTCCCAAGCCTCTAATGTTAATAGTCAGGAATTGCACACAGTGGGGATGTTGGTTACTTGAATTGGAAATGGATAACTGACACGCACCTAAAATGTCTCCAAGGAAAACAGGGCAGGGGCCAAGTTGTGCAGGGGCATAAGTAAACCAGGTCTGGAGGGCACGAAGAATGGCGTGTTCTCTCAAATGCCACACATGAGTCTGGGACCCCTGAGAATCCTGGAGCTGAGCTCGGTGGCTCTCCAGGCTAGCCTGCCATGGAGCTAGAGGTCCTCTGGGAACGACATCCCTGGTTGTGTTGACTGAGCCTGGGTCCCTGGTACACAAACAGCAAGTTGTAAAACTCAGACATCCCATAGCATCTAGCTTCATTACTGTGCCCAGTCGGCCTCAGGAAATGGAACTTGTTTCTACAACTGATAGACTCTAATGACCAGTAGGTGAAACACGAACAATTAGGTAAACTGGGAGCCAATGCCAGGGAGTTTATGGGTTTTCCAAGGTCTTTATACGCGTTCTCCCCTTGTTAGCACTAGGTGAGAGGGAGCTGGGAAGGAGGCATCTCTGCCCCTGAGAATACCATAGACCTGGGCGTGCCCGTTCTTAGTGGTGGCACTGAGAAGGTTTTCCGACTCTCTTCCTCACTCTGCCGCCACCCCTGCTGCTCCAGTGCTAGTATGGTCGCCTCCCGAGATGACACTGACAACAGCTGCCTTCCCACCCCAGTCCTTCCCTCTGGCCTCATTTCACCAGCACTCAGGGCCTCTACTCCGTGGCCCTCCTCAATCAGTGAATCTATCCCTCCTTCGATAGAGATCTTCAGAAGAGACGTCACCACACCCTTTCCCCAGGCACCACCCGCCAGCCTCAAGTGTGCCAATGTGCGTCACTGTGGGGATGGTCTTTGTTCCTCTCTCAAGTCCCTCGCCAAGCAGGACCCTCCTTTTCCTCTTGCTCTGTACACACTGGAGAAGGAGAACAGAGAGTCCTCCTGCCCTGGGCAGTCCTCCTGGCAGAGATGACCACTCCTGAGCTGTCCCATCTCAAGGGGCAACACAGGTGTCCTTCAGCTGCAGGTTGTTATTTCTGCAAATCCCTTGGGTTTTCTGTGTCTCCCTTCTGTCCCCTTTCCAAGGTCTTTGAGACCTACTGAACTGTACAGCTCAAGCTCAGAGAGAAAACACCAAGCAGGACTGGTGGTGCAAAAAGATGGTAAAAATTAGTTTGCCCCTGTTCTGTGCCATTTGTAATTTTGATCTCAATCTGGGGCCATTTGAAAACAGACCCCTTGTGCAGCCCACTTGGCTCACCTTCCCCACTCTCTCCCCAACCCACAACCCTCTCCCCCCGTGCCTGCCCACTAGAAGGTCTTTCTGGCTTTATTTTAGCCTAGGGGCTTCAGCTAAATGTCTCCTGGTTGAACTTCACCCTTGCTGTGTCTTCCCATTTCCCCACTGTTCAGATTTCCAGACCTTCCACACTGTGGAAGGCACCATGCTGAGGCCCGATTTGCGTTCCGGCTCTGCCCTTACCTAGTTGTGTGACCGAGCAAATCACCAAACCTCTTTGAGTCGCAGCTTCCTCATCTGTAAAATCAGGACTATCACAACTGCAAGTGCAAGATAGATGAGCAAGTGAATGTGGAGATGCTTTGTAAACTGTAAACCCACACTTCCTAACTCGCGTTCCATAGAATTGTGCTCTCAGCAGAGGTTTTAATAAACTACTCAGGAAAAAAGAAAAAGAAAAGTTTATGTCAAGTTTGAGGAAGACTAGCCTAAACAAAGAGAATCAGGTTTTCTTACTCTAGAATTTCTCAGAGACTTTAATTTGCCAGTGTGCATGGCCAATTTCCAAGAGCGGAGTACAAAATATAGCTTTGTCTCCAAACCACTTTCTTCATGGACTATTTATTAACATCTTTTAGATGACTGGTTTCCATAGGGTATAGCATATATTAATATTATTTCTCCTACAAATAACAATGCTAATGCTTCCACAAGATTTATTCTACTATCCAGGTCACTAATCCTGGGTAATACCAGTTAATCAGTGTCTGAAAGAGTATTGCTGGAGTGTCTTCAATCTGCTTGGCATTGTGCTCTGTACTGGGGGAGAGGGGACCCACAGTCGAAGGCCTCTGCCATTGGACTCCAGCCTGGCCTCCCAACACCCCCACGCTGGACTCTGCCCAGGAGCTTGGCCAACCCATTGTCCTACGTTTACATCTTCTGTGCTCCTGCCCCCTGCCTTTGTTCTGTCTTTCTTCCTGCCAAGCTGCCTTCCTCCCGTCTCTACCTACGCAATTGTGACCCATTCTTCAAGCCTTAGCCCAAGCCCTGACTTCTCCATGGAAGTTTTTCTAACTAATGCAGTGTGTTCTAGACAGGAATACTGACTCCCCAACTCGACACTAAGCCCCTAATGGCAGAGAGCATAATTTATACTTTCTGATTTTCTCCCCATTCTAGGATTTATTTGTGGGTTGATTGATTTATGCCCTCTAACCCCCCAGAAACCATAAGCTACACAGTTGAACTTGGGAACTTGAACCTCTAACTGGGTGTATGTCCTTCTGAGCTGGGGAATCAGTAGTGAAATTACTCACTTCATTCAATAGACACTTATTGAAGGGGAACTGATGGGAAACCAGGGTTAAGTAAGACAAGGTCCCCACCGTTAAGGAGCTCTTGGTCTAGGCAAGAGCATAAACACATCATTGCAAGTCAGTGTGTTGAGTGAAATAATAGAAAAAATGTGAGAGCACAAAATACAGTTCCTGGTGAGAGCAGGTGGGGGTTGAGGCCAACTTCCCAGAAGATGGTCCTGCCCTACTCCCCATCTTTCTACTTGTAGAGAGCACCCCATATGAAGCAGACATGGCAAGGTTATGGGGGTCCACCTCTAGGGGAGAAAGACCACTAGGGACACTGTGGGAAGAGGATTCAAGTTTGTTCCCTGGGTCACAGGGAGGGGGTCTCATTGAAGCCAGAAGGTTACAGCAGTTGCTAGAAGCTGGTGTGAGATGGGAGCTTTGCATCCCACTCTCCCCAGACACGCACGTGTGCACAGCCCCCCACACACGTACATGCACATACACACACACACGTGCACATACACACAGTCTGTTGGAATCCCACTTCCCTGCTTTTCCATCATATCCTCTCACCCCTTCTTCCTTCTCACCTTGACTCATTCTTCCTCTCCTCTTCTGTCACCTCCTGGTCCTGGGGCCATCCATCGTGACCTCATTGGAACAGCCCCGTGTCTGCTGTCAGTAGCTAGAGGCCCGCTTCGGCCACAGGCTGGTCAGCGAGATGCCCACTCCCCGCGGGGGGCCCTCGGGAGGGAGGCCAGCCTTGACTCAGTGCTTTCTCTTTTCTTCCCACAGAAAACCAAAAGAGATGTCAATAACTTTGACCAAGACTTTACCCGGGAAGAGCCAGTCCTTACGCTTGTGGACGAAGCGATTGTGAAGCAGATCAACCAGGAGGAATTCAAAGGCTTCTCCTACTTTGGCGAAGACCTCATGCCCTGAAGCCGCTCCGGGTGGCGCTTGCTGACGCTGCAGAAGGGGTGCCGAGAACATTCCTGTGTTCCAGAGGCCCAGAAAGTCTCGAACTGCTCCTCCTCCCTGGAGCCCAGTCCCACTTCCACTCTCTATTTATTACATTCCCTCACCCCAGGCCACCTCTTCCCTCGCCCACCTGGTGACCAGAAGGCGCTCTTGGTTCTTGTCTCACCAGTAACACAGCAGTTAGCTGCACGCGCTGCCGTGTTTGGACCGTTGGCAAGCCTGGTTCCACTCCGCGGGGGTTCCTGGCAGTGCCACAGCTTCAGTTCTTGTACCACAAGGAAAAAAAAGAAAGCAACCAAGAAGACTCTGGCTCTGCCGTGGGACATAGAATCGTGACACCCCCCCACCCCCCCGCTTGTCATCCCTCCTGCGCCCTGGCTTGCCACCCTGCCCTTCCGTCTAGAAGAGACGGGTGCTGCTGCTGTGGGGGTCGGCACCCTCGGGCACGCCCTGCGAGGGAGGGAGACCGAGACACACGGTGGGCTAGCTGCTGGTTTGTTCTAGAGTGGCTGACTCTTGCCTGCTTTGGTTTTAGCAGTTGAGCATGCCGAAGTCATGTAAGTTTGTATCTTGTGGGGAAAAAAATATCACTCTTTGTGGAACAAGAAATTTGATTTTGAACTCTATTCACATTTGAAAAATAGATTCTCAGATTTGCTTTCTAATTGGCCATAAGATATCAATTCCAATCTGAATACAGGTAGATATTAAAGGGCTACTATACAGTGAGAAACCAGTTGTTCAGGGTTTATGCTATCAGTGCTTTCGTGGCACGTGGGGGCTGTGTGCATTGAGAGAAGAGGAAACAAGCAGTAATCCCCATTATTAAAATTCTCTCGGAACACCAAGGCCACACGGCAATGGCCGAGACCCTGGGGTTCTAGCAAAACTTGGCTCCCAAATTCTCTAAGTTCCTAGCATAAACGCTATTTATTTTCTGCAGCGGTGTGTTATTTTTTGTGTACTTCTACAAAATGGTAGTACTACTGTGTCGTGGTTTTTACAGATTAAACATGTAAAGTTATGTATGAAATATCTGCTTTTGGAATAAGCAGAATGAGGCTACACATGGGTTATGCAAAGGGTATCAGGAGACTGCAAAGCAACTCCTTTGAAAACTGACAATGTGCAAGATATACTCAGAGGTTTGTTTTTGTGTGACATGCAATGACAACTCATGTGGACACTATTTAACAGCTGTGATGTTATCTCCTGTAGATATGCTAACAGTGTTACATTCTTTCATTTCCAAGGGTTCTCTGTGGCTTTGTGTATATGTTTCCGGAGGTCATTTGATTACCTATTTCACTGAACTGATTTAGCAGGGAATGGAATCCATTCCAACTATTGCACGTGGATTTCCCAGCTGCCCCTAAATATATATACTTGTGAGTGGCAAAGTGGCACTAATGAAGCTTTTTGCCTTTTGTACATTTGAGATTTTTGTATATAGTGTTTGCTGCAAGGCCTGTGGAATTAATTCATTGAATATAGAGGTATCAACTGCTGCATGTTCAGGCATATTATAAAAACTTTAGTCTATGAAAGAATAATTATAATAATGTCTAGGTGCAATACTCTGTAAGCGTATTGGTTCAAGTTACCGAGAGATAGGTGTGTTCCTTTTGGGGGGAGGAGGGGGAGGGGGTTCTTTGTATTGTTTATTTCATTTTGGTTTATTTTAAAAGATGTAAACATATATTAAGCTATATTAAATCTCACATATACTTCTCCTATGCTCTATTATTGCCTGATAGACATGAGGAGAAAAAGGAATGTTTGTGATGGTAGTTTCAAAGCTTGGACAGTGATGATCTCGAGCCCATGGAGAGTTCGTGTCCGTATTTGCATCTGGCTGGTCATAGCCTTTGTTACTAATGATGACATTCAGTTCTCTTTTGTTTTTATTTTTTAAAAACTCAGGTGTAATTATTATCTGTTCTTATGATAACTGCAAATATTAAATATTATGCTACATCAATTCATGTGTTTGGCATACCAGTGAAGTGATGACGAACATTAGATTAATTTAATTTATCTTCGGTAACTTGACATGCTGGGGAGAGACTTCTTCTGGAGTTGAGTACAAGCACAGAAACATCTTCACGGTGGCATCATCTCATTTTTTTAGGAAGACATGACAATACTGCCCATCATACTTACGTGTAACTACTGCTTTATCTTTCTTCTGCTTCTGTCACCATTATGAACTCTGGATGACCAAGCAAGTTCTAAGTGCAATGCCAAATGGCCTTGGCCCAGGGCTTGGTAGTGTTTGCATGGCAGCGGGGATTGGGCCCTTCCTACAGGACAACTGGCAATTTTGCTGGGAAGTCAAATACTACATTCCACCCGGCAGCTAGGCAGGCAGCCAGCCAGATCCAGAGTCCCCCTTGCACACCCAAAGCCAGGCTGGCTGGGATGCCTCTGGCTGATGAAATTCTCAGGCAGGCAAATTTAAATCCAGCATAGGTCTGTAGAAAAAGACTAGTGTGTTCCTCGAGTAATCATTGTTTCATTTTCATTTTCACAACAGTTTAGAAGCAGACACACTGTTACACTTCTGCCAGTTTTCTACTCTTTCCAACACCCACCCCCTTCTCTCTCTCTCTCTCTCTCTCTCTCTCTCTCTCTCTCTTTCCCTCTCTCTTTCTCTCTCTCAAAATAAAAAGAGTGCAAAAAAATGCCAAAAAAATATATGAAGGATTGTTGTTCTCCTGTGTTCTCTCAGTATGGACCTTGTGAAGTGGAAACATAATTTTTTTCCTCCAAAGGTGAAAAAAAAAATGCATTCTTGCTTTAAAAATAAAAAAAGGAAGTCTAAAAAAATTACCTCTTTTTAAATTATGTGCAAAATAATTCTGGCTATAAAGTATATTCAATTTTAGGGATTTTTTTTTGTATTGTGATGCTTTATTTGTATATTTTTTTCCTTTCTGGATGTAATTTTAATCTCTTGCCATTCATTAGTGTTATTTCGTTGTAAACATTATTGTGCCAAATGTACTGTATTCAAAAGGATGTGAATGTGTATTGTTTCAGAACCTAATAAATACAATGACATTAAGTCTTATTTCTCAGTCCCAATAAGGATTTTTATCTGCTTTGCGAGAGGCAAAGTGGCACTAATGAAGCTTTCTGCCTTTTGTACATTAGAGATTCCAAAATTTCAAAACCTGGATGTGTTCTAGCTTCTTCCTCTGAAGATGCACAGAGGCTGCCAATGACCATGTCTGCCTACTCCCCTGACCCACCCCTGCCCGCCTCTCTGCTGCTGGTGCTGCCAGACAGGATACTGGTGACTTGTACACATCAGACATGGCTCTCCACGGACGTGGCCTGTCTGTCTTGGGGTGCTGGGGGATGGCCGAGAAAGCAGAGGGCACTTGTATTTTTATCTTTCCAGAGAGGCAAATGCTGGACCTCCTTGCAACCAACACCCATTCAAGCCTTTTTGGGACTCAGTTTCTTGCCTGGTGCTCAGAACTTCAGGAATTAGGGGCCAGGAAGCTCCTCCTAGCCTGGGAGCTCCTTGCAGGCTGGCCTGGAACTGGGCTGGCCAGCGGGGCTCCATGCTTGGCTGGGGCCCACCTCCCCTGCTCAGCTGATGTCTGTGGCCATCCTGGTGACCCCTGGGCTCTCCACGTTCCTCTTGCACTCTGGGGCTCCTTTTCTGTCATTCCACTCCTGCTGCCCTGGTTTTGCAAGGTGGTGCAAGAGAGCTTTCTCCAACACAGATTTTTCAAGAATGTTTGAAACTCAGAAGTACACCAGAAATTTCAGTTGACCAAAACTCCTCGTTCCCTAAAATTATGGAAATGATTGCAGCTTTACTATTTATCATCCTAAGGTAAAGGGATGGCCTAACTTGTCACTCTTTCAGCCCACAAAGTCACTTCTTCTTAAATCCTCCAAGGCTTTGGTATATCATCCAGAAAGGCCTCTCCCCGCACCATGTTCCCCCATCAGCAACATGGACTGCCTCTCTGGAGACGTAAGCATGAATTTCCACATCCGCCCCAAGAAAGTTATGTTTATCACACATTTTTCTCTCCAGTTCGGGCAGCTCTTTCTAGATAAGTGATCACCCAAGGAGAAGCAAGTTTCCTACCAGCTTGTCTGTCTTTTCCTGAATTTAAACAAAAATTAGAAGAAACATTAAACTCATAGAAGTAAAGGATAGAACGGTGGTTGCCAGGGGCTGAGATTGGGGAGATGTTGGTCATGGGGTACAGAGTTCCAGTTAGGCCAAGTCCTGGAGATCAGTTGTACAGCATGGTGACTATGGTTAATAATGCACTGTGGATTTATTTGAAAATTGCTGAGAGAGAAGAGCTTAAATGTTCTCACCACAAAAAATAAGTATGTGAGGTGATGGACATGTCAGTTAGCTTGATTTATTTCACTATATGTGTGTGTGTATATATCAAAACATTTTGTACACCATAAATGTATATAATTTTTCTTTGTCAGTTATAACTGAATAAAGCTAAAAAAAATCAGGAGAACAAAAGCCGTTCTAGGCAGGTCAGAAGACATCCGCAAGCATGTCACTGAATGAGATATGCCCAGTCTTTTCTCCCCTTACCCAGTGCCCTGGCAGAGAAGAGCCCCAAAGTCCTGGAGGCGAGGGAACTCAGCCTGTCAAATTTTTGTGCTCCTCAAACCCCACTGAAGCTGTGAGAAAGGTCAGTTGCTTCAGTATCCCTGCTGTGGAAGAGGACTTCCACTGCTCTCTATCCACCTTCAACGATACTCTTGGAGAGAAAGCCAGGCGCTTTCTACCCTGTAAAACGAGTACATGAATTGCGAAGCATGCACTCAATGCAACACTGTATAGCCATGAGAGTAAATGGGTGGCAGCTACATGCAACAACACAGGCGAATCTCGCAACGCGCTGCTGCGTGAAAGAAACCAGGCAGAGAGGAGTGCACACTGCATGATTCCCTTCATAGGAAGTGCGATGTGTGCTGCTGGAAGTCAGGCTAGCGTTTACCCTTGTGGAGAAGAGAGGTCACAACAGGAGGTGACACAAAGGGCTTCTGGGGTGCTAGTTTTGTTTTCTGAACTAGGAGCTGCCAAACAGGTGAGTTCACTTGGACCCTTGGAAAGGGAGCAGCTGGAGAAGGGCTACCTCTAAATTGCAGGGCCTGGGGCGGATCACTCTGCCTGGATCTAGAACCGTCCTGAGAGCCGGCATGTGCAATGGAGAGAAGCAATAAAGCCACACCAACGGAATCACAGGGAGGCATGAAGCGGCTGTGATTTCCCTAAGGCTGAACTGTATTCATATGCAATTGAGAGAAGGTCCGGATGAAAGAACCTGTGCTCCTGGAAGCGTCCCAGAGAGCAGACGGGAGAATGAGGTAAGAGAAATGGGTAGATTCCCCAATGCACACCAGGGCCTGCTGGGCCTTTGTTTTTCTTCTGGGGTCTCAAATCAAATGGACCTTCCCAAAGACCCTCCTTTGAGATTTTGAGCCCATCCGGGTGGTGGCTTTTCCTGGAGCAGAACAACATTGTGATTATGCTATTGTCCACTCTCACCTCTGAGTTCTCAGGGGCCCTGGAGGGCTTGGTTTTCTAAGAGAACTTTCATCTAGGGTTATGCTAACCCAGAGCCACCAGGACTGGGCCAGGCTCTGCCTCCACCCAAGATACCTACGCATGTGGGCATCTACAATATTAATAGAAATTTTCACATTATTGCCAGATGTACTAAATCTACCTTACTCCTGCTTTATTGTCCTGAGAAAGAAAGGCAGGGGGGCCAGGAGGAGGCAAGAATGAGGGAGGAGAGAGACTGAGAGGGGTGTTAGGCTGTTCACTGCTCAGGTGCACTGTGGGCCTCAGCTGGGCGCTGCCCTGGGTGGTTAGTCAGTTGACTTGGTGCCGCCAGCTGCTCTATGGAGGCTCCTTTCCAAAGGCAATGATGAGGGTCCATTCTAGTGGATGCCAGTCACCCAGAGGCAAGGGTGACTTTACGCAAAAGACAGTATGCCAAGGGCCAGGTGAACTCCGAGCATGGGCCAGGCTGGTGGGCCCTGTCCACCCTCCCTCACAGCCTGCAGAGGGCAGGTGGGGGAGACTCCTGGGTGATCCCTGGCAGGGGGAGAGGAACGGACAGTCTCAGCTGGGGAGGATAAACGCAGCTAAAGGCGAGGTGGGCGGAGCCACGTAGGAAATTCCGTCTTCCCACTGCCCCTCTCTCCAATTGCCACCCAATGAGGCAAGAGCCAGAGCTGAGCTGAGTGCTGAGTAGGGGCCAGAGTGTGCCTGCAGGGGTAGGAGGGAGGCCTGAGGAGTTGGGGGACAGCAGCACCAGCCTGGAGCCCTCACTTTGGTGGAAGTGGAGCTGCTTGGATTGTTTGGGAAACAGATGTGTTTTTGTGTCCCTCTCCCCTCTGCGCTGAGCTGGAAGGAAGGAGACTTGCTTCTCATTGTGCATGCCATAGGCCGGGCACTATTCCTCCTGGGGGGTGGCTGTTTGGATTCCCTGTTTTAGAAATCAAGGCTCTGAGGCTCAGAGAGGTTGGGCGGCTGTTCAAGCAGCACAGCCAGCACAGGGGCAGATCAGTGCTCAAGCCCATGATTAGAATCGGGGTCTGGGTGGCACCAAAGACCCAGTTCTTCTCAATGCACTCCAGGTCATTACCCCAACACAGGTCCTCTTGCACAGTTTTGCTTTCTCTGTCCAGGGAAGCTTCACTTCCGTGTGAGATGTCTATGACTGTTTGATGTGCAATTAGACTTGTGTTGGTCTGTCTAAAGGACTTGGACAGTAGCACCAAGGGACAGCCAGAACACAGGCTGAGGCGCCTGGGGGTTCTTTCTCTCCTTTCCCACCCTTCTTCCCCTGCCACTTCCTAGCAGGGCCCTGAAAGTTTGTCCTCAAGTCCAACAAAGCCTCCGCCCCCAGACACCCCGCCCGCCATCAAAAAAAGAAACCATCCCTATGGACTATTCTAAGCAGGAAGCTGAGTTTTCAGCTCACTGGAAAACAGGAAATGCCTCCAAGGGCCTGAGATCTCTTTAGTCGCTGTGCACTTCATGCAGGGTCTGCGTCCCAGGCCAGCTGCTGAGGACAGCCCTAGAAGCAAGGCCACGCCAATCTGGGAGTGTGGTCCCATCAGCTCCCTCTACCCTGGAGGTGGAGCTGACTCCTTCATCCCCTGCTCAAGAAATTGGACTTTCGGGATGCCAGGGACACTGCATGAAGGACCAGGGAGGTATATCAGCTTTGTAAGGAACACACTGACCATGGGCTGAGACCTCACCCAGCTGACCTCTCACCCCAGCCAGTTTGACTTCCAAACCCAGAGATTGGCTGAGCCCCCAACAAAGACTGACTTTCCAGCCCTTTCCTATGGCTGACTCCCCCATCCTGGCTACAGACCAACCCTCTAACCTTGACCCTGTCAGAAACTAACTTTTGATCCCAGCAACCTAACCCTGGCCACAGACCAAACTTGAACACAGCTATTCCCAGTCATTTCTTGAGCTGCTATGGAGTGCCAGGTCCTGTGAGCCCAGCACAGCTGTCACGGTCCCTATGGCCGGGGGAGGCGGTAGGCCCCACTGTGAAGCTCTAATCTCAGGCAGATCGTGGTGGAAGGCGAGGAGCAGAAGTCTTGTTTGAGACCCCGACGCTGTCTCTACCTTGCCGAGTGGCCTTGGGTTGGTCACATCATCCCCAGGGCCAGGGTCTCCATGTGTTCTTCTTCACTGACACAATGTGCCCAAATGTTTTCAACGTTCCCATCCCCTCCATGGCACATGCCGGCAGGGGAAAGCAGGAAGTGGCCGAGGGCATGAGGTGCAATGGCCGGGGCTGGGGTTACTCCAGGGGGCAGGTTGTAGAGCACAGGCCCTTCCACTTCTGCACAGCAGACGGGCTTCAGGAGTCCCTTCATGCAAATGTCATTTTCCTGATCCTGCCACTATCCTGACGGGATTCCATGGAGTCCATTGAATCCTGTCCAGATTCTTTTCATCTGTAAAAAGAGCTGTGGATGCCAGTGGTTCAAGCACTGAGAGGCGGGGCAGGTGGACCTGTAGGAACATGTGCTGAT